CATTGTTGCACTTTTCTCCTCCCTGTCACCTCCCCCTTCCAACCACTTCCCCCCTCTCCCATCTCCCCCCCCACCATCACCTTCTGCCTTGCTCTCCAACCCGTCATCACTACTGTCCTGCACGCATCCCCTCAGATCTGACTCTATCTCCTCCTCCTCCTCACCAGCTTCTTGGACAAGTAGCCTGTATTTGCTGATCTAATTTGTTCAACCTGATCCTTGTTACTAAAGTCCCATCTCAGCTGTCATGGCTCTGAAGGCTGTTCTCGTGTGGGGGCCATGAAGGGTGAGTGACAGACAGGCCTGTTATTTACTTGACACCACTGTCTGCAAGGCACTGCCAAGTCTGCCCTGCAGAGCTCTTCCCATTCAACCCTTGCAACATGAGGGAGGTATTTTCTCTGTTCTCCCCTGAAGTCGTCTTGAAACCAAGACCAACACTCAGCCCAAAAGTCGACCCGAGCATTGTGCTCTTTTAAGAACTCTTCGTATGAGATCAAGGTGCCAAAGGCAGCTCCACAGAAGCGTAGTAAGAAGTGGGTTTATGTTCATGAGGAAGGAGGGGGTGGAGAAAGGCTCCACAACGAAGAATATCGTCATCGTGAGTGAACTGGACATGAACTCTGGATGTTCAGCTACGTATACTCTGAACAACAGCAAAAAAGTTAACTCCTTTACCTAAGACCAATCAATAAATGAGGGAGACATCTGTTGTCAAAGCTCAGATTTTGGGAGCTCTGGTGGCCTAGTGGCAAGATGCTGCACTGCAATCCCAGAGGTACGCAGTTCAAATCCACCAGATGCTCTGCTGGAGAAGGAGGGGGCAATCTCCTCTCCTGTACCAGTCAGATCTGACGGTACACGTAAAAATAATACAATAAAAATAAAAAAAAAAAAGAAGCTCAGATTTTGAGCTGAGACCATCTTAAGGGTGAGTAGTTTTCTTGGGGCCTCTCTCCAGAGTCCTACTGGTACCTCAAGGTTTCTTGTGAAACCTAGTCTTGTTCATTCACCCGACAACCTCCTTGAAGGTGGCCTTTTGGCCTGTGACATCTGCTGCTAATTCTCAGCCCACCTCTCTGACCTCCACCCAAAGCCCTGGACTCAGGCAAACTCACTTCCAGTCAACTCCAACTCCTGGTGACTCACTCCGTTTCTGAGACTGAGAAAAAAGGGCGTAGATTGCTGTCCCCAGTGGAGGCGCTGGTGGATTCGAACCAGCAGGGAAGTGTGGTCTTTTGGTCAGCTACACCATTATAGACTATGCCACCAGAGCTCCTGCCTCAAGCTGTGCTGATGTTGTTGTTGGGTACCATCTAGCTGACCATCTAGCCCCAAAGGGTCAAGCCTCAAGCCTATCATTACACTCACTGTGTCAATCCATCTTGTTGAGGGTCTTTCTGACCTGAGCCCTTTCCCCGCGTGATGTCTTTCTCTAAGGCCCCTCCTAGCTGCATGCTTGGACTGAGGAGCTCTAGAGACACGGTGTAGGAGTGGCACTGCCCAGTCAAAGGCAGGCAGTTCAAATTCACTAGCTGCCCTCAGGACAAAGATGAGTAATCTCCTATGATTTCCAGCCTCTGGACTCTCCTGAAGGGTCAGCTATGGGTCAGTTCTGACCCAACAGCAATGGGAGAACCTTCAGCTGAGCTATTTCAGAACCAACAGAGAGCTAGCCCTCTTCCCTCTCATCCCGGCACATTGATGCTCGAGGCCGCCGCTCTTCTGTCTCCCACCTGCGGCTGATTATTAGCCTTGTGTCCAGCTCAGCCATGTGGACATCACCAAAGGACGCCACTTCTGCTTAATTCCAGCGCTGGGAATTCTCAGGGCTGGTCCACAGCCTCTAATGCAGAAGCTCCTACCCCCAGTATTAACCCCCTGCATCTGGCCTGTGTAACTGGGCCACACTGAGACTGTGGTTAGAAACCTCCTGGGTTACAGGACATTATCTCTAGAAACAAACACTGAGCTACTAGTGGACAGAGGCTGACAGGCAAAACAAACAGATACACTGGTAAGGGAGACTGAGCGCACGACCCTACAGCCATTCAGATGGTATTTCTATACATGGTGTATCAGTCCTGAGCAGGGAACTGCAGCAGCTGGACCACAGGAAGAATACACACACACACACACACACACACACGACCCTACAGCCATTCAGGTGGTATTTCTATACATGGTGTATCAGTCCTGAGCAGGGAACTGCAGCAGCTGGACCACAGGAAGAACATGGCATCAGAAGAAAACACACACACACACACACACACACACACACCCACACCCCTGTCTCGAAGGAGGTACAACCGGAGTGCCCCCTAGAGGCAAGCACGGGGAAAGCCGGTGAATCTACTTGGGACGCACTTGCAGGAGGAACCAGTCCTTGGGGAGATACCACGGTAAGGAAGACAGAGGGTCAGCGAAATAGAGACATCCCTGGACCAGGTGGTCTGACACGGCGACTACTACACTGGGCGTAACTGCTCACAGGACAGGGCAAGGCTCAGAGCTGATGTTCACCGGGTCACTACAAGGCACAGTCTGCTCACCAGCCCCTAAAAGTAGTAACAGTTTTCTAGCTTAGCTAGAAAGAAACAAAAGCTACCAAGGCTCTGGGTAACACTGCCAACAGCAACTGAGGATGGGCAACTCAGAGAGAGAAAACGGGACTGGCTGGACCACGTCAAGAACGGACTCACCGGCAGTGAACTACACGGCAGAAGCTGTTGACATGGTATTTATTCTGGTGGATATATTCTCAACAATAACATAAATAAAGTTAAGGGGGGGGGGAAATCAAAGCTCTCAGAATGCACACAGAGACCAGTTTGCCAATGTTCAATTAAGCACTATCTGCAACAGCCTAAAAATGAAAACAGAAATGTCCGTGGAAAGTGAGTCGGTTAACAACATGCAGAACGTACAGCCACTTCAACGCAGCCACAAAGAACAGAACAGTTCTGATAGCACAACATGGGAGAAACTAGACAATATTGCGTGACTGACGTCAGTCAGACACCAGAGAACAGGACTTTCTATCCATTCACTTAGTAAAGAGCAAAGAGATCCATTTAAAGACCAAGGTGTGTTTGACACACGCCATGAATTTTCAATCGCTTCCTACGCATCTGAAAGTTGGCCAGTGAATAAAGAAGTCCAGAGAAGAATTGGTAACTTTGAGCTGTGATGCTGGAGAAGAGTGCTGAATTTCCCACGAGCTGCCAAAAAAACAAACACATCTGTCTGGGAGGAAATATAACCAGGATGCTTCTTAGAGGGAAGGATGGGGAAGCTTTGTCTTACGTACTTTGGGCTTGTTGTCAGGAAGGAATCATCTTTGGAAAATGGCACCACGGTGGGAAAACTAGAGGGTCAGTGAAATAGGGGAAGACCCTCAACAAGGTGGACTGACACGGTGACTCCAACAATGGGCCAAGCATGGTGGAGACTGACGCCTGGGCAGTCAGGGCCAAGTCCAGATCTGCTGTTGCAGGGCATCAGCCTGAGGGCCCCGACCAGTAACAGGAACAAGTGACACAACAAGTAGGCAAAGAGACAGAGACTTATTAGTGGTCGCCAGGGCAGGCGGGTGGGAGGGGAGAGAGTCCTTGCTCAGAGGGCAGTGATGGTGGGGAGGACCGAGGGAAAGGCTGCTGGGGACAGTCGCACAGTGTGACGAGCAGCCTCACTGAGTAACTGTCACTGAACAGGTAAAAGCTGCTGAACCGGCAAATGTTCTGTTGGATAAATTTTCACTAAAATGGTATAAAACAAAGCAGCTCTGTTGGCTCCCCACTGCCGATGGGGTAAAATCTAAACCGCTTTGTCTTCGACGAGCTGGCCCCGACTCACTCTCTCTGTGCCTTCCACTCTCTGCTTGCAGCCAGCTGCCTTGCATTCCAGCCCCTCTGAACAGTACTGGGCACATGCTGAGGCCTTTCCCTCCGTTAACTCCCTTGGCAAACTCCTACTCAATCAGCTCAAATGTCACCTTCTCTGTGCTGTCTGGTCCGGTACCCTCAGGTTGTGTTACTACAGAGCAGCAAAGCACTGGCCTTACAGGCTGACGAGGGATCAGCTCTGCTGGCAACCAACCCACTGCTGCCCAGTCGATCCTAGTTCATGGCAACCCTCTTCCCTGAGTCTCAAACAGGAGGAGACTGCCGAGTCTTTGATCTGAACTGCTGACCATTTCGCCCCCAGGGCTCTCTGCTAGAACACAAAGCCCTCTGAATCCCAGCCGACAGCCCACACTGATCTAAAGCAGATCTCACCTGCCACAGGTTGGTGCGGTTGGGCAGGAAGTGGTTCCCCCAGGGGTAAAGCTGTCCTGCAGGGAGATAAAGGGACAATAGAGGAAGGAGCAGTGGGCAGTGGGGAGGGAGGGTGGATGGTCAGAGTGGGGGAGGAAAAAGGGTTGATGAGGAGCCAAGAAGAGCAAGATAATTTATACTTTCCTGAAAAGTTCACTAAACATATATAGATAGGTACCACCATTTCTAGAATTAACAGTTTAACTAAAGCATTTTGCCCTGATTTTAATCCACAACTTTTTAAATGCCACTTTTTTTAAAAATTTTATTATTTCGTGTGTGTGTGTGTGTGTGTGTGTGTGTGTGTGTGTGTGTGTGTACCGTCAAATCAGATCTAACTGGTAGAGGAGGAGACTGTTCCTCCTTCTCCAGCAGAGCATCTGGTGGATTTGAACCATGCACCTCTGGGACTGTAGTACACCTTCTTGCCACTAGGCCACCAGAGCTCGCCCGCTTACTATTTTTTTAAAAAAATTTCTATTTTCTGTGTGTCCCCTTCACTCTCTGAACTGCCTGAGAGGTCCCCACACCCACCCTCGACTCTCCACTGTATGGGGTTCCTCCACACCCACTCCTTCACTCTGTACATCTGGGGTCTCCCCACGCTCACCTTCACTCTCCGAACTACCTCTGGTTACCTCCACACACCTCCTCCATCCCCTCTACCACACCTGAGGTCTCTCCATGCCCACCCTCCGCCCTTTCAACTACATCAGGGCCCCTCCACACACCTTCCACATTCTGAATGACACGAGGGGTCCCTCCACACACACCCTCCATCCTCTGTACCACATTCGGGTTCTTCCCTTTACCCTCCACTCTCTGAACAACGTGAAGGGGACTCTTCATGGCCACCCCTTCATCCAGAGTCCAGTCCCTGACGGTGCTCAAGAAATGCCACTTGTGTGGTTCCTGGGCAGTCAAGTCTGTATAAACTGGTTTCTGGCCCCCAGTGAGATCAGTACAGAAACGGAGCATGAGCAGAGGAACCTATCCCAGTCACATGTGTCTGAGGAATCTACCCCAGTGGAGGCTGGGACCTGGCACAATTTTACATCTGCAGTTTCCTCCTATTTCTCCCCTTGTTAGTTTTTACTGCACTTTTCAGAATTCTGGGTCCTGAGACAAAGAAGTGCAAAACCAAGAAATGACGGTTCACAAGCAGGTAAGCGGCACTGCTCTGGGATGCAGGGACCCTTCCCACCCTGGGCGGCCCCGCTGCGGAGGGCATCTTTTGAGGAATGCATGCATACCCTTCAGGCCCCCTCGAGCAGCAAACTCCCACTCCTCCTCGGTAGGCAGCCGCTTCCCCCGCCACGCACAGTAGGCACGCGCATCATTCCAGCTGACATGTAACACAGGAAGCTCCAGTTTCTCTCGGATGCCTGAGCCGGGACCTGCAGGCTGACAGAGCAGGGAAGTCAGACTGCCCTTGACTGGGCTCCAGGATGCTCCTGGGAAAGTCTCAGCTTGGGGAGCCTGAGCTCAGCACATACCACGAGGGGGAGCAAGAGAGTCAAGAGAGAGCACCAGGAGTGGCCCTGGGCCAGGAGACCCTTACCTGAGAGTGAAGGCAGGTGGGAGGTGGGCAGAGGAAAAGGAGTAAGCCAAAAGACCCCACTGCCATGTGTCAAGGTGATTCTGACCCAAGAGAACAGGACAGAGTTCCCAAGATGGTTTCAAGGTGTAAACACGGGGGTTGTTGTTAGGTGCCTGTCAAATCAAGTACGACTCGAAATGACGCTACGATGAGCCAACATGAACCCTATGCTACCCTGTGCCATCTCACCATCTCTGACCCATTAAAACCCAGTGCTGAAGTCACCACGTCAGTTCATCTTGTTGGGGGTCTTCCCCTCCTTCGCTGACCCTCCGTTTTTCCTTTCTAAGGAATAGCCTCGCCTAGCTACAGGTTCAAAGGACGGAAGGTGAAGCCTCACCATCTTTGCCTCCAAGGAGCACTCCGGCTGCACTTTCTCCAAGAGCTCCCTGTCCTCCCGGCAGTGTACGGGATACGCAGCACTCTTCTCCAACACTCCAGCTCTACAACTTCCATTGTCCTTATTTACTGTCCTGCTCTCTGACGCACAGCACGCGACTGAGAAGACCACGACCTGGGTTAGGCACACCTTAATCTTGCTCAATGCAATGTCTCCTGATTTCCTGACTGCTGGTAACAATGGGATCAACTGCTGATGCAAGAAAGATGAAATCACTGACAGGGTCAACCCTTACTCCATCTATCATAATGTGGTGACTGTTGTTCCTGTGGTGAGACCTTTGTTTTCTTGATGTTGAGAAATAACCCACACTGAAAGCTGTAGTCCTAGATCTTCTGCAGCAAGCCTTTCATAGCCTCCTCACTCTCAGCAACCAAAGTTGTGTCTTCTGCATAAGGCAGGGTGTAGATGAGTCTTCCTCCAATTCTGATACCACATCCTTCTTCATAGAGTTCAGCTTTACAAACTCTCCAAGGGAGTGGCTGGTGGGTTTGAACTGCCAACTTTTCAACTGGCAGCCTAGTGCTTTAACCAGTGTGCCATGAGAGCTCTGAGAAAGATTAAGGGCAGAGGAGAGAGGATTGTTCACTCTTTTCCACGCGGACGCTTTAGTGGGTAAAGGGTTTAGGGAAGCTAGTGAGTGTCCAAAGGTTAGAAATTGTGATATAGGAACAAACTCTTACCTGCCGCCAAAATGCCTTTTCCACAGGAAGCCACCAGAGGAGAGGCTGTAGAAGAAAAGGTTGACAGTAAGGTGTTGGGCTAGCAAGGCTACCTACTGGAAAGCAGGAGACAGGAAGTAGATGGTCCCTGTGAGGCCGTGGCAGAAATCTTTACCATGATGTCTCACCACCCTGGGGGAGGCTGTCAGGACGTTCTCTTGCCAGGTCAACCTGAACATCATATGATCTGATCTTATCAGCAGACTCTTTATCAGGGCTCATTCCCTGAGAGTACATGGTTACTTCAGGAGGTTTGGTGTGATTAGAGTGTGTTATGTGTAGGGCTGGTAACCAAAAGGTCAGTGGTTCAAATCCACAAGCAGCTCTGCAGAACAAAGATGAAACAGCCTATTTTTATAAAGATTTACAGCCTCAAGAACCCTATGGAGCAGTTCTCCGCCCCGCAGGTAGCCGTGGGCTGAAATGGACCCCATGATATTGGGCTTTTCTTTGTTCAGTTTGCAAGTTCACTTGACTCTTCTTCTGAGTGGGGTTTCTCTTCCCAGCTTCCGGCTCTGGCTCCCCAGCTCAGGATGCTCACTCCCGCCTCTCAGCAGGAAGCCCAGGTTCTCGCACCTTCATCTGACCAGTGGCTTTTTCCTTCAGCTCATTGGAGACAAAGTCCTCGAAGACAAAGCTCCACCCGAACGACTCGGCCTCTGTCCGGTACTTGTTGGCCCTGACAAACTCCCTGGAAGAGAAGGGTCACCCACTTAGGGACAGGCCCCCCACCCCTTCTGCTCTGAAGACCTCATGTGTTTTTTTGGGGGGGAGGGGAACTTTTGATTATGATTTGGCTCAAAGTTTATAGAGCAAGTTAGGTTTTCATTCAGGAATTTATAGACATTTTGTTTCATGAAGGGCTGCAGACCTCTCAGTGTCACAACACTCTTCCCACTCCCTCCCTGGGTTCCCCATTTCCACTTGGCCCTTCTTTCTTGCCCCATCCTGCCACGTGAACTTTCTTTTCTGGCAAATGCTGCCCTTTCAAAGATTGAAGTTGTCAACAATTTCCAGCTTACTTGGATCCACAATCAACACCCATGAGAACAGCAATCAAGAAATTAAAAAAACAAAAACAAACAGCTGTTACATTGGGGAAATCTGCTGCCAATGACCTGGTTCAAGTGCTAAAGAGCAAGGATGTCAGTTTATAGACTAAGGTGCACTTGCTCCCAGCCATGGTACTTTCAACTGCTTCACCTGCATCGGAATAATATAAGGATTTTATAATAATACAGTAATGAAGACTAAGAAGAATTGATGCCTTTTTATGTGAGTGCATAAAAAGGAATCGTGTGACTGGCAAAATGTACTGACTATCCCATGGACCGCCAAAACGAACACATTTTCTTGGAGGAAGTGCAATCAGGGTGCTACTTAACAAGGAGAGTGAAACTCTGTCTTACATACTTTGGGCATGTTGTCAGGAGGAACAAATCTGTGGAGAAAGGATGGAAAAAGCCAGCAAAAGATACGAACATCCTCAACGAAATGGACTGACACAGTGACTGCAACAATGGGCCTGAGCGCGGTGCCGATCTTGATGATACAGGATGGGTAGGCTCTGCTTTGCGGATCACCGGGGCCCTGTGAGCTGCAGCCGAGGTGACCACACCCAACCAAACACCATGGTCGGTTTTTCTGAGGAGCAGCACGTTCCTGACAATTATCACTGTACACTTTTTTTTTTTTAATTCTCACCACTTTATTGATAGGCAAAATGATAATTGATGGAGAAAAAAATGAAAGTGTCAATAGCTTCATCTTACTTGGATATCCAATCAGTACATGTGGTACCAGCAGTCAGGGGACAAGGAGACATAATGCGCTGGGAAAGTCTGCAGTCAGAGACCTCTCTAAATTGCTGAGGAGCAATGATGTTAGTTAGGTCTTTTCAATCACTTGCTATGCTTCTGAGAGCATGCTTGGACGTATGGATAATCACAAAAGCGTTAATAGCTTGAGGAGTAGGGAGTCATAATGCCTCTGATTTATTGACTTGGCTCCATATGAAGGCTAAGGCTGAATGAAAGGAACAGATCAGTCTGGACCACAGGAAGAAGTGCAGACTCCATTTAGTAGATTGTTCATCTCCACTGTACGCTTTTCAAGCCTGACTATGGTTTGGCCGAGTGTCGACCAGTTCCAGGCTAGAAGGGTGTGCAAGGGCCTCAGTCTTACGGCTTTCAAATCTCACTTGCTGGGGAGCTCTGGTGGCTTAGTGGTTAAGAAGCAGTGCTGCAACCCCAAAGGCACACGCTTCAAATCCGCCAGCTGCTTCGGGGGGAGAAGGATGGGTAGTCTCCTTATGCGCAATTTACTGCCTCCAAGATCCCACTGGAAGGTCGGCTATGAGTCGGTTCTAACTGGGCAGCACACGACAACAACGACATATGCTTGTCCTGTACATCAGACCTGGCGTAGGCTCCAGGGATTTCGTCGTAGCCCGAGCAGATTATCTTTTAAACTAAGACATAATTCACATTTTTAACCAAGGTCGTCAACTTTTCATGCAAAATTGTGAATGGATGGACTTTTGGTGCATATCAAGCCACAGAAAAAGAATATTTAAAAACCTTTTTTGGGGTTGTCCTACCTAAAGTTTCTAAATAAACATCGTTTATGCATCAGTTTACTTTCAAATAATATTGTACAATTTCACTATTATGGAAAAGTCTTATAACAGTATGCTTCCAATTTCTCCTACCCATATTTTGTGCTGTACTATTGATTTTACTTTTTCATGTGCTAACCTTGTTGTTGTTACTGTTGTTAAGTGTCGTTGAGTCATATGCGACTCATAGCAACCCTATAAACCTTAATATAAAATATTATAAATTTTGTATTTAAATAATCAACTATGCAGCAATAAAAATGAAGAAAACTTTCTCTTAATATTTACCTTTTTAAAAAAAATATATGTATGTCTTTTGTCTATATGTATAATACTTCAGAGATATTGCAGGTTTGGTAACAGACCAGCGCAATAAAGCAAGTCCTGAAAATATTCTGGGTTCCCAGAGCACATAAAAACGATGTTTACCCTAGTCTATAGTCTATTAAAGGGGCCCTGGTGATACGATGCAGTGGTTAAAGAACACAGCTGCAAACAGAAAGGTCAGGTGTTTGAACCCTAGCTGTCCTGAGTTAGAAAGATGGGGTGGTCTGTCTGAGTCTGTAAAGATCTGCAGCCTGGAAACCCTAAGTTTTAGTTCTACCTGGTCCTGTAGGATCACTGTAAGCTGGAACTGATGACACTGACTTTGCCATCTATTAAATGTGCATGATGGCAATGTTTTAAATATTGTGAAAATGATCAAAATGTGGCACAAGGATGGAAAATGAGCACATGCTCCCTGAAATATGGCATCAACAGACATGGTCAGTGCAAGGCTGCCACAAGCCTTCAATTTAGAAAACACAGTGTCTGTGAGGAGCAGGAACACAAGGTCTCTCTGTAATTCATCATAAACAGTAGTACCTCACGCAGAGTGTGTAAGTTGTCGAACTGCTCACCGCTCAGTTAGCAGTCAGGACCTTAACCACTGCACCACCACGGCCAGAGAGCAGTAGGTTTATGTCTGGAGAAACTTCCGATATACCTGAAGTCTTTGTTGGTGACGGGAAATATGTCAATGGCAAACGGTTCTACTGTCACCTCCCGCACGGGCCCTTCACCGTCTCTGCCATCTGGAGAATTTGTTCCCATCTGAAACCTCCCACCAGGCAGCTGGACCATGCCGGGAACCTCTCCATTCCCTGCAAAGAGAAAGGAATCAGCAACGCCTGAGGACAAAGCAAGTGCCTGTTTACCAAAACACGTGCATGTCTCAAGGCAGGAGAAAAAGACCTTATGAAAACTGCCCCGATAAATCCTGATTAAATGCCAATTTGCTGAGTGAATTTAGGCACATGACTTTATCTAAGTCTCAACATCTTTGCTTGTAAACTGGAAATAACATCTAACTCTATCCTTGATAGCAGCTGAATGAAATAAGATGTGTGAGCCATCTGGCACATGGAAAGTTATCACCAAATGTCTCTTTTCTCTTTATTCCTCTACATAGCAATGCACTGTCCCTTTGTAAATGCAAACATTACAGCTGAAACCCATCTAGCACTTCTCTGTGGTACTTCTGGCCATTTTGTTTCTCCAGCCTCCCTCCTCTCTGCTAGCCGAATTTGCATCAATTCTACTACTAAATTTTTTCAATTCTTATTTTTTACTATTACTCAATTTTTACTCATAATGCACCCACATAAATAATCAGGTATGTGTATATCATGCACAGTGCACACAGGAAACTAAAATGCTAGGAGTTCTAAAGGTGTAAGGTGTAGTATGTCTCAAAAAGATACAGTGTATGTTCCAGAAATGCAGGTTCTACAATTATTTTGCTTGTATCCTTGGCACCTAGCTCAAGCGCACTCAACTGAGATTTCTTTCTATCTTTTTTTTTTCATTTTTTTTAACTGAGATTTACACTTATTCTTTTGTCTCAGATATTCATAGAATTAAAAGGATCAAGCACTTTAACAGAAGAAAGGAAAACACTGGTTAGCAAGAGACAAAACTAGGTAAAAGTCTATTGACTTCCTGATTCATGCTTTTCTCAATACTCCACATTTATTCTTGAGTACTATGTATTATTATTTTACTGTGCTGTGTTTAAATGTAAGGATGTTTAAGTTCTATTAAGATCTTCCAAGGCAGACCAGGTTTTTGATGTCCCTCAAAGACCTTCCCCTCTTACTCTAATACTCGTGATCAACAATAGATTGTGAGGAAAAAACAAGCCCAATGGGAGAAATTTCAAAGTACAAAAAAAAAAAGGAGAAACTGTCTAGCCAACAAAATGTATAGACTTTATTTTTATTCTAATTCAGCAACTTATATTTTCTAGCATGTAATAAAGTAAACCTGGACACTGGTTGTTAATATTTCAGGTGGGAAAACGATCATTATTTTTCAGGCCTTTGTTTTGTAGCTTTTCAAGCTGTTTTACGAATAAAAGGACATGGTGTCTGGATTCACAGCAAAACGATCATGGGGATTTGGTGGGGGAAGTGGGAGACAAGCAGATAAACAAGACCGGCTGGAACCCGGTAATTAGTAAAGAGGACAGTGGGTATGTGTGGGAGAGGGAGAGCTGCTCTAGCCTTCTCTGCCATTTCTTTACGTCCAGACGAATCCGTCATGAAAACGGAGACGTGGGCGCCGCCCGGCCCCTCCGTCCGCTCCACGCCGCAAGGGGCGCAGCGGCCGCGGGCTGTCGGCTCCAGGCGGAGGGCCACGCACCGTGCCCGGCCGCCTGGGTCAGCCCGCGGGAGGCCACCCGGCCGGTGCACTGACCTGGCTGAAGGCCACTGATGAAGACCAGCAGCAGTGACAGCAGTACTGACAGCAGCGGACGCAGGGAACCCATGCCGGCGCGCGACCCGGAAGCACAAACGCCTGGCAGGAAGCTGTGGGCGGACGCACGATAGCCCCGCCCCGCCCGTAGTACGTCGGCCCCGCCCCCTGACGCGTGCGCACTGCGCCTCTCGGTGCTGCCTGGCACTGAGCGCGGAGGGTGGCACGTGCCTGGACTGTTCACCTGCGGGATGAGCACAGGTGAGGCGCGCTGGCCCAGCCTCCTGGTTACTCCACCCCATCAGGTAACACAGAGGCGGCTTCGATTCTAGAGGAAGTTGTCATGAGCTAGGTCACCCCTCCACTCAGCAATCTGACGTCATCCTGGGTCGTCCGCATGTTTCCAGTGGACCACTCTGCAAGTCCCATCAGGACAAGTGACCACAGACCGCTTAATCCCCTTGACACAGTACCGCGAGCCCGCAGGGGCGCGTCTGTCTTCATGCCTGGGGCGCACACAGCTGGTGAACCGTAAACACAGCCATGTTAGACTGGACACCACCACCGACTGACACAGCTGCTGTGTAAGGACCTTCTGTAAGAGGTGGCGGGCGGCTGCACCCAGGATGAGAGCCTTCACAGGCGGGATTGACACGAGCATGACCAGAGGCATGAAAACACATCCGGATGAAGAGATGGTGACCCGGCTTTATGCTTCTCTTCATCTTGATCCCCCTCCCATTTCACACAGCCTGATGCTACCCCACTCCTCGCCTTAGTTCCACCGATTAGAGCGAAACTCCACTTGGAAGCATTTGACAAAGGTGTGAAAACTCCACTGGGACATTCATTGCATTCAGAAATTTTTACCAATGGAAGACTTTCTTCTTGGGTATTAAAAGGCTCAGTCAGAACTGTCAGATAAAATACAGCTAAAAGAAAGTAATAAGTCATTAAGTTGTTTTTTTAAGTAGTATTTATTAACAAGGTAGATAACATGTTTATCTAATGTCATTTCAGCCACTGAAGCTAAAGGCAAACAACCGACTGAGTGGGGGTAAAGGATTTGCTTTATGTGTATACACTTCAGTGCAATTAGAAAATACTGTAGACTTCAGAATTTAAATAGGTGAATTGACCTCCTATTTGAACATGGGAACAGAAAATTCCTTTAAAACCACTTGAAGCTTGAATAAAAATTCCATTGCTCTTGTCTTAGATTACTCTAGCTTTCATAATTCAGACAAGACAAGCCTGGTACAGATGCACGATTCAGCCTTTGAGGGAAGACATGCCAGCTCGCATGATCTCATCAACCAGGAGGATGTTGCTAGCAATCACAGTGCTGAAAAGAGGAGAGAAAGCACACGGCTCAGAACAGAAACACAAACCCTAATCCAAGACACCTTCTGTCCCACCTAAGCTGTCTGCATTACAGCCATTCCCCTTTCTCCCTCCACACACAAGAGGGCTATACTTTAGGTTTATCATTTGTTTACAGTTTTTTGAATGGTGGGAGAAAGGAGAACAACAATGATTAAAATAGGATATAACCCAAAGGTTATTAAAGTCTGAGCTTTCCCAAACTTACCAGGAGTGAAGCAGCTGTTTCTTTACACAGTAGTTATCCCACACGCCTGCTTCTGCTGCTACCATGGGCTCACCTAGAAAAGTAACCGAGTCCTCTCATCTGAATGTTGTTGTGCTCATTACCAATTACTCATCTACTACTATAGTTCCTTCACACACCCTCGCACATGAAATACTGTCCCATGCCATTTACAAACACTGATATAATGTGCATCACTTGCACAAACCATGGAATTAACTATGGGAATCAAGAGCTCCATGCTGTCCCATTTATTCCAGACCATGATTCTTTTTCCATCTTGGATGAGTGGCTGGCCACTAGTTAATGTTATTTGCTATCCTCAGGCTTTTATGCCCATGAATACTATCACCAAAAGTATTTCTTGATTAAAAGTCCTGATTAAGGGAAGAAACAAACCCTCCCCCCAACAAATCTTTGAAATTACTCAAATGTCTGCTTTTAATTCTGACATCTAGCCAACCTATATTTATACGCCTTATTATTCCAACTTCCAATCTGATACACCTGCAAAGTCATGCTCCAGGATTCTTTTGGCCTCCTGACTGTTGTGTGGCTAACCCAAAGGCAGGTCATTCAAATCCACCAGCTGCTCAGAAGGACAAAGAGGGGCAGTATCTTCCTAATAAACCTGCAGCCCCTGACAACCCAATGGAGAGCCAGTCTGACTCAACACCCGGAAGTTACTGTTACCTGTGTTCAAGTCAACACCCACAAGTTGACCGGATTCTGAATGTTCTGCTTGAATTTTGACTAGTGTTTCCTGAAGGTCAAAACCGGAATTCTGAGCAAGAACCTAAAATAAACAAATTAAGTCACTCAAAAGACATGACTTAAGTCTACAACAAAAGAAATTAAAATGCATGGACCCAAGGCCAAACCACCTTTTACATTCACTTTAGAGAATAAACACCTCTGATCCTACTCAAGTCTTCACTCATAAACTACACATCAAATAAAGCCTGTAAAAGAAAGGACAAGCAAGCAACAATAGCAAAGTTCATTAATACAGCAAATAACAGACATTGAACAGGAAGTGGAGAGACTAGAACTCTCATACTTGCTGGCGGAAATGTAAAATGGTACAATCACTATGGAACATTTCATGCTCCCTCATAAAGTTAAGGATTTAAAGATCATTTTACAGCAAACCCACTAGCAGGTATATACCCCAAAGAAATGAGCTGTTACACAAACAGATTAGCACACACACATGTCAACCACAGCATTATTTAAAACAGTCAAGAGAGGGAAAGTGTCCACCAATCCACTATGGATAAAGTCCATCCACACATGGAAAGGTAAAAGAACTGTGATACATTCACACTACAGAATACTATACAACACTGAAAATAAGATCTCACACAGCACAGCAGAGCATGAATGCATCTAGAGGACATGGTGCTAAGCAAAATAAACCAGCCACAAAAGAACTATTAATGGTATAAAACCACTATTATAAAAAGCTAAAGGTTTACACAGAATCATTCGTGGTTGTTTACTAGGGATGGGAAGAGAGGGAGAGAGGCAAGGGAGTAAAACTAGGTGATCTGGATAAGGAGAAGTACAATACACAGGAGGGGCTGATCAGACACTGCAGTGCCATGAAACACTCTCTATGACTGTTGAATGGAAAATCAATTTGCTCTCTAAACTTTCCTCTTAAAGCCCTTTTCACTGCTATCAGTTTCTCATTCAAAGTATAGAGATATATTTGGACAGCTAAGGATACCTGTTCTATTATCAGGGAGAAAACCACCCGTTTCTCCAAAATCCACATTGAGGTTAAAAAAATGATCATTAAAGGATGTAGACCTTGGGAATAATGAGCAGTGCATCAGCAAACGCCTGGACACCAAGCTGGGCCCTGCCCTTGACAGTGGGCTTATGCTTCATCAGAGCTTCTGCCATCGCCACTTCCACAGCACCAGCCCCTGGGACCACACAGC